GTTTTATATGCGTTGATCTCGTGCGGATTGATTCCATGAACAATATATGGAGAGATAGAAACAGATCATGCGGTATAGTGTGTAATCTCGTAGACATGAAATAATAATCACATCCTAATCCACTTTTGATTAATGTCTACAAGATTTGTATATATGTAAATATCTCTACAAGGGGTTCTATGTATGTAAATTTTCATTGAATTTTCACAGTGGCAATCTCGTATTAATTTGACGTTGTAAAACATTATTTAGAATACTTTAGTCTGTGCAAATACGAAGAATATTGATTAAATTGAGAGCGAGATTGCTAGCCCAAAATTATAATAGTTGGTTATATTGAGCTGCAATACAGTTTGAGTCTTTTACGGTTGTAACGATAACCTAATTATGTCAAAATATAAGAAAAATTGCAATTGACCTTATTATCTTAAACTTGAACTTCGATATTTGAAGATACATTTGTATCGAATCTGGAATTGGAACAAATGTACATAGAGAACAAGTGTGCTCGTGAGAGAGAAAGAGGTGAGAGAGATTCTCAAGAAAAATAAAAATTGCAAAAGTGAAAGATCAAACCCTAATTTGGCTATTTATACTAAGTCTAACATAACTAAAATTGCTACTTAAAACATAAAGTGTGTTTTACAAAAAAGACTATAAACTACAATTTTATACTCTAATATCCCCAGCAAGAGGAACGTGGATGTTGAAAATGTTCATCTTGAAAATGCAGTTTTAAAAAGGATGTAGTCCAAGTGCTTTTGTGAGGACATCAACCACTTGTTGCCACTTGTTCATTAGAAGACACAAACGGTAGTGAGATTACTCCTGGGGACAACTTCTCTCTAATCAAATGAAAATCTATCTTTATATGTTTTGTCCTCTCATGGTGTACATAAGTTTTGGCTAATGAAATTGCAGACTTGCTATCTAAAAGTAAAACAGGGGAAGAATGAGCAATATTCAAATCATGAAGCAAATATAGGAGTCATTGAGCTTCACAAGTAGTAAGGGCCAATGCCCTTTATTCTGCTTATGCAGAAGACCTGCTGACAGTGTGTTGCTTTTTTTATTTCCATAAAATAAGGAATTCCCTAGAAAGAATGCACAACCAGTAATGCTTCTTCTAGTATCAACACCCAGCCCAGTCACTATCGCTATACCTTTTAAAACTAAGTCTGATGTTGCTTTTAAATACCTAAGTACTCTATTTGCTGCAGACATGTGTTGTTGATTTGAACATAAAACATAGAATCAATGATTGCACAATATGAGTTAAATCAGGTCTTGTGATGGTCAAGTATTATAGTCTGCATACCAATCCTCTATATGCAGAAATGTCTACATGAACAAAATCAGTGTCTTTATCAAAAGATATCAATTTTAAATTTGGATCCATAGGTGTAGATGCAAGCTTATAGGCAAGAAAACCAGTGTCTTTCAAAATGTCTAATGCATATTTTATTTGGCAAAGATGGATGCTCTTATCATGATGAGCTACTTCAGGACCAAGTATATATTTTAGGATCCCTAAATTTTAATGGTGAAAAAACAGTCATCAATATGTTTAATTGCAATAATAACATTTATAAAAGTACAAATGTACTTGATTACTCTAGAATTTGACAAATAAGATTATAAAGTACACAATTCGGACACATAAAATTACAATGCACTAAAAATCGACACACAGAATCGAGAAATTCATTAGAGAGGAATATGGGATTAATGTGACTGTCTATATCAATTAAATTATTGAGCCCAAACGACCTGTTGAATTAGCTGAAGGGAAATCCTTACCCAGCCCAAATGAACAAAATAAACTTCTATAATCTATATCAAAAAATCAAAGCCCAAAAAAACTCCCCATATGGCCACAAAAATCAGTTCAAGACCATCACTCCTCCACCTCCTCCCATCTCCTCCACTTGGCCACCACTACTCCGCCGCCGCCTGGTACAATCCGCCGCCGTCTTCCCGAAACCCTAACCTCGAGCACGACCCGATCCTAACCACCCTTTCTCAGGCCATACGGAACTCTCCTTCAAAACCTCTCCAAGCCTCCATCAAACACCTCCTCCCTTCTCTGAAGCCGCGCCACGTCGTTAACCTAATCACCTCGAATCCTCACTCTCTCTCTCCACCCTCTATTTTCTCTTTCTTCACATGGCTCTCGTCTGCCGCCAACTCCACCTTCCGCCACACACTCCGTTCTTACTGCGCCATGGTCCATTTTCTTTGCACCCACCGGATGTTCGTCGAGGCCAGAGATTTGTTCCGAGTTTTGGTGTCGAGAAAAGGGAAAAATTCGGCTGCCGATGTTTTTGCTGCACTTCTTGAAAGCAGAGGTACCCTCAAATCTGACATTTACGTCTTTTCAGGATTATTGAGTGTTTATCTTGAATCGGGTTTTATAGATGATGCTATTCAATGCTTTAGATTGACCAAAAAGCATGGATTTAGAATCCCATTTGATGCCTGCAAGAAATTACTCGAACATTTGGTGAAATTGAGGTCTTACAAGTTGGCCTGGGAGTTCTACGAGGAGATACTAGAATGTGGGTACCCTTCAAGCTTGTATTTTTTCAACATTTTAATGCACAGATTTTGTATTCAAGGTGAAATGAAGCTGGCCTCCTCTGTTTTTGATGGGATTACAAAGTGGGGTTTAAGGCCTAGTGTTGTGAGCTTCAATACCTTAATGAATGGTCATGTTAGGATGGGTGATTTAGATGAAGGGTTTAGGCTGAAGGATGCAATGCGGGCCTGGGAAATCCGGCCCGACGTTTACACTTACAGCGTTCTCATAAATGGGCTGTGTAAGGAGCGGAGAATGGCCCACGCAGGTAAACTGTTTGATGAAATGCTTGATAATGGTTTGGTCCCGAATAAGGTTACTTTCACCACAATGATTGACGGCCACTGCAAAAACGGGAGTTTCAATTTGGCTATGGAGATTTACGAAAAAATGTTGGCTCAGTCACTTTCACCCGATCTCATCACGTACAACACGATTATCAACGGGCTTTGCAGCAAGGGCGAAATGAAGGAAGCCCGAAAACTTCTAGATGAGATGCGGGCCAAAGGGTTTAAGCCCGACAAAATTACGTACACGTCCCTCATCGATGGCAGCTGCAAGGAAGGAGATCTAGAGTCCGCTTTCAATCTCAGGGACGAAATGGTCAAGGAAAGTATCCCTCTCGATGATGTGGCGTATACTGCCCTCATTTCGGGACTTTGCCACGAAGGGCGGGCCCAAGATGCAGAAATTTTGCTGAGGGAGATGTTGCGGGCCAGGCTGAGGCCCGATGACGAAACATATACTATGGTCATTGATAGCTTTTGTAAAAATGGAGATGTTAGGAATGGTTGTAGGTTGTTGAGCGAGATGCAGAGGGACGACCGTGTGCCATCTGTCGTCACTTATAATGTTGTGATGAACGGTTATTGCATGCTGGGGCAGATGAAGAATGCGGATATGCTTCTGAATGCAATGATGAGTTTAGGGGTCGTGCCTGATGATGTCACGTATAACATTTTATTGGAAGGGCACTGCAAAAATGCGGGACCGAAGGATGTTTGTATTTTGCGTGGTGCCAAAGGGCTCGTTCTCGACTATGCTTCGTATGTTTCGGTAATTGGGAGCTTAAGTAAATCGTCGAGGTCACGGGACAAGGGATAGTGTGATCGAAAAAACAAAAGAAAAACAGGTTGAATTTCTTTTGGACCGCTTGTAGGGCCGCGAAATTCATCGGATACACGAGTTAGAATGGAACTGAAAGAGGAGGAGGTCGAAAATAGGGAGAATCTATGAAGGTTGATGTTTAATTCACAAGTGGAAAGTTGATTTTTTGTTTAAATAGTTTGATTTACTTATAGAGGAAATTTTTTGAATGAAATGTAAAACTTGTTTGTTTGTTTTTTGTT